TCTCTCTCTCTCTCTCTCTCTCTCTCTCTCTCTCTCTCTCTCTCTCGTTACTTTGCAATTACTAGCAAAAAACTACCATCACTATGAAAAAAACACACCCTTCCTCCTCTTCGGCACCTACATCAGCTGCTCAGAGCCCAACTCACCAGTCTAAAGCAGCAGATGCCAAAAAATACCAAAAAGATCTACAAATGACTCTTTTGGCGATACAAACATCTTTAACAGCTATGCAAGCATTCCAGGAGGCTATGCAAAATACTATATCAAAATTAAGCTTAGAACAGAAGATTATGTCAGCTTAACAGAAGAAAATTGCAAATGAACAAAGAGAACGTCTTGACAAATTGGACAGCTCTGTCAAGGATGTATCAAACCAACTGGCAGATGTTCAACTTAAAACTGAACTGAATACACAAGAAATACAGCAAGCCCATGAAAAAATTGAAACAGTAGAGAAAGAAACACAATTATTAAAACAAACAAGTCATTATGGGACTCACTTGCTATATTAGAGATGGAGAAGGCATCCAAGTATCTGAGATTCCAGAAAATACCCAAGGGAAAGAATGAGGACTTAAGGAAATTAATAATTACTATGCTGGCAGAGGTGTTGTATCTGGAAAATGAAGAGGTGGACACAAATATTGACCTTGTTTATAAGGTAAATTCAAGTTACGCTAGGAAACACAAGATTCCGAGAGAAGTTCATGTTAAATTTGCAAAAAGGTCTATAAGAGATAATGTTTTGAGGGCTGTACATGATATACCTTTAAAGGCTGATGATCATCATGAGGTGACTGTTTTGAAACAAATACCATGGAAGTTTAGAGAAGGACAAAAGAAATACTTATTCCTTACCACGAAACTGATTAAGAAAAAGATCATGTTTAGGTGGCTAATGCCAGAAGGAATATTTTTCACCTGGAACTCTACAAGATATAAGCTGGACTCAGTCTTCAAGGCACAAGAGTTTTATGAAAAATTCAGAAGTGCATTTGAAGAGAAAGAATCGGATGTTCCAAAAGAAGGAGAAAAAGGTGCTGAACCAATGGAATTAACAGCATACCATTCTGAAGAAGGAGAAATAGCAAATACAGACTTACAAGAGGAACAGACACTGGAACCAAAGGAAAAGAAAAAAGGTAGAAGTGTAAAGGCAAAGCATAAGTAGATAAATATATACTCTTTAAATATGGCTTTCAAAATGGAAGGAAGAATTGAACTGCTCTCTTTAAACATAAATGGACTAAACGGACTCTCTAAGAGAAGGATTTTCTCTCAACTTCAAAAACAGAAATTAGATATAATTTGCCTACAAGAAACACATATTAAGAAACAACTTAGTAAGCTTTTGGAATGTTTAAAGCTTAGAAAGCTATTTATATCTTCCGCTTCTCAAAAGAAAAGAGGTTTAGCATTATACCTCAAGGAAAAATTAGACCCTAAATATATATTAGCTGATGATGATGGTAGGATTCTTATGGTTGAAATCACAATGAAACTTAAAAAGGTGCTTGTGGCGATTTATGCCCCAAATGACCATCAGGAAATGTTTTACCAAAAACTACATGCTTTACTCTCACAATTGTGTGTGTGTGTGTGTGTGTGTGTAATGGGAGACTTTAATGCAATTGTGGACAAGAAAATGGATCACAAGAGTGAGATTAAGGACAGAAAAGGCAGGAGGATACTTCCAAAGTCTTGTTTAATATGATTGAAGGATTTAGTTTGATAGATGTCTGGAGACATAAAAATCCAACCTCTGCTAGATATACTTTCTATTCGAATAGACATAGGTCATGGTCTAGAATCGATATGATTTGGATAACCCCAGACTTAGTACCAGACCTGCTAGAAGTTGAAATAGAGGCAAATGTCTAGGCAGATCATAACCCTGTAACTATGACATTGAAAGGGACAGTAAAAACGCCCAGATGGAGGTTAAATAAAGCCTTATTAAAGGATAAAAAATTCATAGAAGAGATAAATAAGGAAATGCAAATATTCTTTCAAATAAATAAAACTGAAGAAACCTCTTTGCAAAATGTCTGGGATACAGCCAAAGCCTATGTCAGAGGGCTGATAATAACATATTCAGCAAAAATAAATAAAAGGAGAAAGCAGGAACGATCTGAAATAGTAGAGGAATTGACGAAATGTGAACAAGAACTACAGGAAGATCCATCCAAAAAGGACTTTAAGGTACAAATGAATATTCTAAAACATAAACTGAACCTCTTTGATACAAATGAACTTACTAAGCAAATGAAATTGACCAAACAGAACTTCTTCGAATTTCTTCAAAAATGCTAATAAACCAGGGAGATGGTTAGCTTATATAGTAAAGAAGGAAAGAGAGAATAGACTAATAAGTAAACTGAAGGATGGAGAAGGATGACTGCAAGTACAAAGTATACATATTAAGAAAATAGCGGAAGATTTCTTTGCAAAGCTGTACCAGAATGATGAGATTTCAACTGAGAATGTAAATGAGTATATCCGAAAGGGAGACCTGCCAAAGTTACCGGAGAAATACCAAAAGTATTGAATGAAGAAGTAACAATCACAGAAGTAATTGAGGCAATTAAGAGACAAAAGAATGACAAAACTCCAGTCCCGGATGGGCTTCCAGCAGAGTTTTATAAATCCTTTGAAGGAATTTTTGCTACACTTCCTAAGGATATATGTAATGCAGCATTGTTAGATGCTAAAATACCAAATACTTGGACAGAGGCAAATATTACATTAATACCGAAAGAAGACACAGACTTGACACAGATTCAAAACTATAGACCTATATCACTATTAAATGTGGATTACAAAATTTTTGCCTCATTTTGGCAGAAAGATTGATGAAGTATTTCATAGATTTTATTCATTCAGATCAAAATGGTTTTTTACCTAAAAGACAAATGAGGAATAACATGAGAACTATCCTGGATATCTTAGAGAATTATGAGATACATACGGAAAAACCAATGGCACTATTGTTCATGGACGCACAGAAGGCTTTTGACAATGTTAATTGGCAATTTATGAAGCAGCAACTAGTTCAAGTGGAGTTTGGTGAGAAATTCATTAATGTGATACTAAGCATCTATCAAAAGCAGTCTGCTATGATTATAATCAATGGAGAATTTACAAATACTATAGATATACAAAAGGGTACAAGACAAGGATGCCCGCTATCACCACTGTTGTTTATATGATCCTAGAAGTGTTAAACAGAAATATCAGGGACAATATGGACTTTAAATGTACTATAATTAAAGATGAAAGCTATAAATTGCAAGCATTTGCAGATGACCTAGTTCTCATAATTGAGGAACCCTTAGTAACAATGCCCAAACTCCTATAAAGGATTGAAGAGTATGGCAGGTTACTGGGGTGAAAATAAACAGAGAAAAGAAGAAATTGTTAGTAAAAAAATCTCACACAGGAGCAGAGAAAAACTCTGGTGGAACAAGTAGATCTTCAAATTGTTAAAAAGGTTAAATATTTGGGAATTTTTCTTACAGCTAAGTGTAGCATTCTGAAAGAAGACAGTTATGATATTTAAGGAAATTAAGAGTGATTTGGAAAAATGGGCTAATTTGCAATTATCTTTGCTGGGAATAATAGCACTAGCTAAAATGAATATATTTCCAAAGCTTTTGTTTTTATTCCAAATGATTTCCATAAAAATTGATAAAAAAATAATGGTTTAAATTTTCAAATCTCGAGATTTACATGGAGAAAGAAGAAACCAAGGATTAAATTAAAAATACTTCAGGAGGCTTAAGAGAATGGGGGTTTTGGTCTTCATGATTGGATGCTGTATTATCAAGCTTCTGTTTTAATGTGGCTAAAAGAATGGATAACTTTAAGAAATAAGACAATCTTGTATCTTGAAGGGCATGATTTGCAAATGGGTTGGCATGCTTATATGTGGTATGAAAAGTGTAAGGCACATGGTAGTTTTTTAAGTCATTATATTAGGAAATCATTAATGTCGGTGTAGGAAAAGTTAAAGACAAAACTGTGTAATAAATTACCAAGATGGCTTTCACCTATGGAAGCTCTTGTATATCCAAAGGCATTGAATTTTGAAGCAATCGTAAGATATGATGACATCTTGGATAATGATGGAGGATTGAAATTGAATCAAGAAATACAAGAACAAGGATCTAATATTTCTTGGTGGCATAAGGTGCAGATACAATCGAGATACGCTAAAGACTATAGAATGTGGGGCTTTTATAAGGACTTAACAGCATTTGATCAGGTGATGCTTAAATTGGATGAAAAAATTATTAAAAGATGATATAATTTCTTACTCGATAGGAGAATGGAAGATGAACAGGTTAAGGAAAACTTTGGATATAATATTGAATTAGAAAAATGGCAAAAGCTATGGAAAAGAAATATTAAGGCAACATTAGCAACTTCATATAAAGAAAACTTGTATAAAATGTTTTATAGATGATATTTGTCACCAAATAGACTAGCTAAGATGTTTCTAAGTATGTCAAATGGATGTTGGAAATGTAAGCATAAATTGGGTACCTTCTATCATATGTGGTGGACTTGCGATAAAGCGAAAAAGTATTGGATTAAAATACATAAATGGCTTGAGGAAATGTTACAAAAATCTCATCAAGAAATGTACTTGATTTTACATGTAATTTCTGTGGAGAGGATTGCATTTGCCCAACACTGGAAGAGTGAAGAGCCACCCACTGATGAACTGACCCTAAAAAAGATCTTGGACTATGCAGAAATGGACAGATTGACTTTGTCACTGAAGGAGAAAGAAGATACTGACTTCTGTCAAACTTGGGACTCTTTTTATTATTGGCTAGAGAAATGGGGCTTCACATAGATTTAAATATGTTCATAAGTTAACATAAAAAGAAAAGATGTGGGGGGCTGACCCAGTAGGTCCGATGTTTCCGATGATTGATGTTGTTTTTAGTTTTTCTTTGTATTAGGTTTATTTAGAATAAAACTTATTTAAAAAAAGAGAGAAACCCAAGGCCAGATCCCCTTCTTGCATGCAGAAGGCCTTTCATAATTCATGGAAATATTGCAAGCATATTTCATGTTATGGTTATGGAAAATAACATATATGAAGTAATGCTATTGGGTATCAAATATTGGATATCAACTCACAAGAACTATGCCTGAAGGAATGCTTCATTTAGAAACTTTTCCTTTCTTTAAAGATGCTTGCCACCTTTTCTCTGGGTTTACTTAAAAGATGTTTGGTAGATAATTATTGCAAATGTATGGAGCTATTAGGAAATTAACAGCACAATCCTATATCTATTTACATAGAAGTAGAATTCAATGGGACATTTAGGTGCACTTAAACTTCATAATTCCAAAATGTTTTTACATGACTAATACTAAAATATTTTATTTGCTGCAGCTTTACAATGTTTTTGCCTTCATTGTACAAAAGAGAACTTTACATGCACAACAGATGGGCTCTGCCTTACATCAGTAACGCGGACTGGAGACAAAATTGCACGCAGTAGTATGTGCATTGCAAAAGTTGATCTTATTCCCAGAGACCGGCCATTTGTGTGTGCTCCCTCAACAACTGAAGGAGTAATTACAGTGCCTCATTGCTGTGATAAAGACCTCTGCAATAAAATGGATCTCCCAATTCCAACACCAGGTACCTTTTTTCAAAGTATACAAAGATACTAAAAGATAAGATTAATAGGTCAAATAGATAGAACACAATGGTGGAATGGCCTAAACATCTTAAGATACATCCATATCAAATTTTCTCCCATTTGTCTTCTGGGAACCAGTGGGGTAGGGAGGAATCTATGCAGAAAAACATGCCTATAGAGATATAATTCTATCTTATGCTAGCTTGCAGACACCAAGCAATGAATGTTAATATTTAACTAATAGGATATTGGTTTTTCTTCCTCTTTTGTGTTTCTGCTTTCCTCTGTCTCCTCTTAGGTCCTATACCAGAAAAGTTTTCTCCTAACCTAGGACCAGTAGAATTGGCTGCTATCATTGCTGGACCTGTTTGCTTTGTCTGCATTTCACTCATGTTGATCCTATACATTTGCCATAATCGTACAGTCATACATCATCGGGTTCCAAGTGAAGAAGATCCTTCTATGGATCGGCCTTTTATATCTGAGGGAACTACTTTAAAAGATTTAATTTATGATATGACTACATCTGGCTCAGGATCAGGTAATAGAGGTTTTTCCCTGGCTATATCCTGATAGATCACCTTTTAAAAACAATGAATAATAATATGAATATTGCTGTGCAGCTGTAGCTACTTGCTAAATGACATGGGAATAATAACTGTTGCATTTTAGTGGGATTGTTTGGTTTTATCCAGAGGTAAAAAGCATACCCTTGAAAGTACTATTTTATGAATCTGGCTTTTTATTGTATCATCAACAGGCTTGTGTTTCATTCCTAGATACCTTGGTTTATATATAACCAAGTTTATATATACCTTGGTTTATATATATGGTTTATATATAAAATTATCTTACAAAAGAGGAAAATTTATATCATAAATAAACTGCTAATCAAAAGTTTAACATCATTGGCTTGGCCAAATATATTACCTGAGAACAAATAAATACCACAAAATCTCAAGTCTTGTATGATGCTATTATAGGGAGTTATTATTCCAGATATGCATTGAAAAGCCTAACCCAGGCAGGAGGCTTGCAAATGTTACCATCCTTTTTTGATGTGTTCAAAAAAAGTAAAATTCATTGACTCGGTTCAGATAATATGATGCAGCACTGCAGTGCTTGCAGGTGCAATGTTCCATAGACAACCCTTGCTGTGTTGTGCAAATCCAGTCAATGTGAGTTCAGTGACATTTAAAATTTTTTAAAAAGCCATGTGTTTTGTAAGGGTTGTTAAACCCTCAAGCAGGTCAAGTAGGACTAGCTTGAGAGCTAGAAACAACCCTTAAGGAGCACTAGCATATTGAAAATGTGGAGGCACTCTGCACACACACTTGGTGCAGCTATAGTGATCTGTGAACAGACCCTGTGAATAATTCTCTGCAAGTGCCCTGTTTAAAGTCATGATACCAAGGCTGGGTTCACATGTCATGTCAAGCAACAAGCAATCCCACAGGACACAGAGCCTGACAGAGGTTCAGGTGGTTTCTGTGCTTGTGTGATTTCCAACCTCCTTGCTTAGACTTTCTACTTTCAGCATGTATCCCATGAGTCACTGTGCCTGATTCAGTCATACATTGGATGACTGGAGCAGCTCCTGCAACTGCTCCTTTTTCCAGAGAACTCTAGTAGCTACCTGCCAGGACCATGGAAACCATGATGCTGGGTTTACACAACTGATGAAGCATGAAAGTCATAGAAGAGACTATTGTTTTGTATCATGGTTTCTGAAAAAACAAATGTACCATGCTGAAATACCATGACAGGTTTGGACCACATGACAGACCAACCTGTGCAAGAAACCTTAATGCCTTGTTGTGTTGTGTGAACCCACTCTAACTTGAAGTAAATGGTATTTGAAATTGTAGAAAAATCCTCTGGATCAGTAGGATAAACAGTTTTTTAAAATTTGTATGCACAACATTTGCAAAGACTATGGCTATATTAAAATGTAATGCTAAATCTCAAGCTTAAATCCCCATGCCAGGTCTGATTGATGCAAATCTTCTAAATTTCTTGCTGCCCGTCCAGAAGGTGAGGGTATGTGTGTGAACCAAGAGGTCACTCATACTTTATTATTTATAAACCTTGAGTTAGCATTGTCTCCAAATAGCCTTGAATTAATTAGCTCAATCTTTGTTGCTGACTGGAAAATAAACTTTGATTTTTTAGGTTTACCTTTACTTGTTCAAAGAACAATTGCAAGAACAATTGTACTACAAGAAAGTATTGGAAAAGGTCGGTTTGGAGAAGTCTGGAGGGGGAAATGGAGAGGAGAAGAAGTTGCAGTGAAAATTTTTTCCTCAAGAGAAGAACGTTCATGGTTTCGTGAGGCAGAAATTTATCAAACGGTTATGCTACGCCATGAAAATATTCTTGGGTTCATAGCTGCAGACAATAAAGGTTAGCAACTCTTAAAAATGGCTGCTGCTGTCCTTTGCTAGCTATAATATTTATTTGCATATCAGTAGTGTGTAGTGTTGATGGCACCATGAGAGCCCTATATTATTTAAAAAAATCTTGCCTCGCCTCTCCTCTTGAAATAACTGTAAATAAATACTGCCTTTGACCATTTGGAATGACTAATACATTGACTTCACAAGTATTTGCATTCCAAGTTACAATTTATAACAATAATGAAAAAAAACACTAAGTAAAATACTTACTCAAAAGTAAGTCCCATTTTAATTTAATGGGGTTATTACCAGTACATATATACAGCTTGAGTTTTCAGTGTTATTTCTGTGGATACCTCCATTGGTAGCAACCAAGGCTCCCTTTTTTCTGCCTTTTTATTTTAGGTTGTAGCAATACAGTGACACTATTATTATATTTGCATTTATTATTATATTTATTATACATATACAAACAGAAGGAATATCAGGACAATTACAAAAAAATCGTAATTGTAAATCAAGCCTATATACCCCTTAATGATCAAGCAAATTAATCCTAACTGTCCGCATAAAATATTCTCAAAAATTACACTAACATTGCAAAAGCTCTGAATTTGTTAATGACCAAATCAAATTATTGTTTAATATAAATAATAAATGGAATCCAGAGTTGTTCAAGTTTATGATCTTTCCACCTACCCCTCCTCCATAGATGAACAAATTTTGTTAACTTCACCATTGAAGTGATATACCATATCTTGTCAATCCATTCTTCTATAGAAGGAATAACAAGTAGTCTCCATTTAGCAGCAATAACTAATTTGGCAGTCTTGAAAAGGTTTCCAACCATATCTACACCCTAACAATATCTTTAAGATAGCTAAGTAAAACATACATAGGATTCATAGGAATGGGATATGCAGTCATAGAGGTCATATGTGTCATAACTTTTTCCCAGAAAAGTCTAATCTTTAATCTTTTTGCAAGTCCAGCATAAAAGGGAAAAGTCTGCACTATTTTTCTCACATTTCCAACAAGTGTTGTCAACGTTGGGATTTACCATTACCAACTTCCATGGTGTCATATACCAACAATAAATGTTCCTTTAGAGTAACACATAGGGAAATGTTAAAACCATTGTGGAAGATGCAATTCCACTGTTCTAAACAGATTTGTGTCTTTAATGTCTTTTCTCATTTTAACTTAAAATAATTTCCTTCATCATAATCTGCTGCAATTTATATGTGATAAATATTAGCTAACAATTTTATACCCTTGTCTGATTTTATACTTTTGGCTGATTGTCTTTTCAAATACAGTAAAACTTCTGAAAGTTGACCACTCAAGGAACTGAAGGAAAGTGGTCAACATACGGAGGTGGTCAACATACGGAACAACTGTAGTGATATGTACACATGCCTCATTTTATTGTACATCTTTTATTAGAGAACGTCATACAGAAACACACATAGTGAAAACACAGGAAAATCAATGCTGTATCATACAAAATCAATTGGTGCTTGCTTGCTAGTGGCAAAGTCACATCTGACCCATCCATATATATTGTTTTCTCGTGGTTTGATCATTCTTTCTGAAAAAAGAGTGAATTTTAGTTTGTTTCTTACTCTTTTTATGAAGGTTAGTGGGGAAAGCACTCTCAACTCTGACTATACCATTCAGCATGCCTCGGCATTTTCCACAGCAAATGACTTTAACTGCAATATCAAATTACTCATATCCTTTTCTTTCAGAATATCTGCAATTTCTGTGTCCTCCTCACTTAATTCTTCTGCCTCATTAGTTGCTTCCAGCACTTTTCTGCTGGGTTGTACCTCAGTCAGTACTGATTGGAAAATTGCTTCTGGGTCAAGTTCATTGCAGTTTGCCACATCATCATCCATTGCAACAAAATCTTCAAAACCTACTCCCTCAAATTCCGCCATGGGAGGTGGGCTGACTAGTGGGGCTCCAACACCTTGCTCTTGGGTTGTAAAGAATCCAGCTTGCTTTTTTTTTTTTAGAATTTTTTTATTAAGATTTTAAACTAAAACTACACATATCAATCATCACACATATCAGATTTACTGGGTCAGCCCCCTACAACATATCTTTTAACATTGTATGATCATGCTAAAATCCTTTTATAATATGAAAACATCTTTAGATCAAAACCAAGTCCCGTTTCTCCAGCCAAATAAAGTAATTCCAAATTTGATAGAAGTCACTATCTTCCTCCTTCTTTATTGGTGAAATCAATCCCATCTTTTCTTGCAAAGTCCTGTTTCTCTTAACCATTATTTAAGGGAAGCTTCTCCAGGTTGGGTGAAATTACGACATCTTTCTTCTTCAGTGATAGGTTTCATCTAAACATTTCTGAACAATTCAAAATCTATCTAATGATAAATAACTTCTTCACTACCACGATTACTGGTAACTTCAAAAAGATCTATTTGACATCTCAAAGGGCATCCTAACTGCTCTGCTTGGTGATAACTTTAAGCCAATTTTATTTAAACTCACTAATGTTTCATCTAACTTAAACTCCAGTTAATCAAATATAGTTAACTCCATACAGTATCACATATAGACTTACCAACCCATATAAGTCATTCCTTTTTTTTAATAGTAAGTTCTCCTATTTTCAATTACAGATATAGTCAGAGATATCCATTTAACAATGTTTCATTAATCTAGATTTTTAAGTTTTCACCAACCATATTAAATTAGCCTTTCTGTATCTCATGTGAACATACCAGCCTATTTAAATCATCCCTTTTTAAGATGAAAAGAAGAACAAAAAGAAAGAGAAAAATCTCTACAGTTACAAATAACATCAAAAGCATCGATTTATCATCTCTAAAAATGGCTTAACAACTCTATTTGGTGATTATTAATACCTATAATGAATTATCTTATTTTCAAATACAGATAAAATCAGAAACATCCACTTAACATCTTTAAAAGCACCACTGATTAATCTATTTGGTGATAACTAATACCTATAATATCTTTTAGCCGAAATTTCTTTAAACAAAATTACTAAAGCTTCACCAAGAACAGTAGCTTAGCTTTTCTACATTACATATGAGAATACCAACCTCTATGCGTCACCCCTTTTTGAAATAACAAGAAAGAAAGTTCTCTTATCTTCCCTTTGATTTTTTTTTACCTCTACCAAACCTTTGTTTTCTTTACATTATAACGTCGTAATATCTGTAATAAATTTTCAAATGTAGCCACATGAACAAAGCCTCTCTTAAATGGTGAACTGTTTTCTCCTTTTCCAACATAGCAAGCAAATTCAATAACCTCATGCTAATTAGCTCCACAGATTGTGCCAACTTTTCCGCTCATACAAAAAAACATGCCTGTGATAAATCATGTAATAAATCGTGTCCGCCCGTTGCTTCTTTGTTTACATTAGATTGTTGTAGTGTGTGCAGTAGATCATGTGTCTTGGACTGTAGCCCAGCTATCTTCTCTTTTTCCAGCATAACAAACAAATCACATGGAGGCTATTTATTCCTGATGTTTCCAAATATCCATCTGCTTGTTGTCTATTTAAAGCCCATCCCATAATAATTGTTATCTTCCCAGTTTCAAACTTTTCTTCTACTTGCTGGATATTTTGCATATTCTGCAAAGCCTGATTAATGGAAACATCTAGTTTATCAAAGCCAGCTTTTTGTTCAATCAAGAAACAGTCAAGTTGCTTAATTAAAACAGTCTTCTGTTGTATTATTATCGCCTGTTGGGATAGTTGCAAGGCTGTTAAAGAGGTCTGTATTGCCGAAAATGTCTTCTGTATTGCTTCAATTTCTTCCATAATTTGGCAGGGGTCCAAGAGTCCTAGGAACAGAAGAGCAAAGATGGCCGTTATTTCTTGGCAAAGGTCCAACACACAAGAAAGATACTTCTATAGTTCAATTAATCAGTAATTTGTTATTTTAATTCTTCGCCCTTGGAGAGATTAAAGAAAAAAAAGATCTTTTCCTTAGAAAGAGCTCTGTCTCTCTCTTCTCTTGAAATTCGCAACCTTTCAACTCCGTAGGGGGAAGGGCTTTCTGTTTTTTCTTTCTTTATGTCAATTAGCAAGGAATGCAGCTTTTTCCACGGGTATCATTGCAGAAAAAAGAAATAAAAATAATTCCCAATAAATCTGATGCTAATAGCTAAAGTAGACTAAAAGCTGTGGGTTCAAAAGAATGGTTTTGTGTTTGAAAGTGTTAGCCCACCTATCTTTTCATTTTTTTTCTTACGCAGCTTGCTTTTCTTACAGACCTCTTTTGGACAACAGAATTGTGGGTGGATTGTTGTGTTGTTACAAACACTGGTTGGATCACCCAGGGTACGATATTTCCAGACAACTCACCCCGAGAACCCATGGGGTATTTTAGGGTTGTTATCACCCACAGTGGATTGTTGTGTCCTCTGAACCTAGACAACATGATCCACCATGGGGGAACCCCAACAGTGAGCTGCTTGCCAAGGGAGTGCTGCTCTTGATAAGAAGCTGCCTGATGAGCAGAGCTGTCAGCAAGTTCCAAAGTTCTCACGTCATTCTTGGTGGCTGCTATCAGGTTTCATTTGGCTGCAATGGTACAGTAGACCTCTCAAGCCATTGGGAAAAATTGCCTCTGTGACAAGGATGGCCAAGACCTGTTCCTGGTTGCCAAAGTGGTGTGCCTCATGTTGATTCAGGTTCATGACGCCTGCTTCTTCTTTGTGGTCTCTTTGAATCACTCATATGGGCTCTGCACCTGTGCAGGGCCTGTTCCCAGGAAGATTTTTCTACCTAAGCTCCCCTCCCACCAGTATATAAAGGCAAGGGTAATTTCCCCTAGTTCTCTTTCAACCACTGTTTTGGGTGCCTTGGGTTCTTTCCCCTAGCATTTTTCCTCAGGCTTTTCTAGAAAGTTCTATCATTCTCTTTATCCCTTTTCTCTTGTTCCAATTCACTTTCTTCTCTACCTGTTTTTCACTTTATATGCACTTTTTACCTTACCC